AAGGGGGTGGGGGGGTCTCCCTTGCTCCCAGGGGACGAGGGCTGGGGGGGCCTTGCCCTGCGGAGGTGACAGGACCCTGCGCTCCAGGTACCTGAAGCAGATTGCCGAGCTCACCTTCCCCCAGGAAGCCCAGCGGAAGAAGTTCAACCAGCTCAAAGCCTATAACCTGCAGAAGGAAATGGGGAGCCTCAGGTGAGCCCAGGGCCCGAGGGGCTGTCATAGCCACATGGGGGTGGGGGAGGGCAAACTGCTGTTGGGGCTGGCCGGAAAGGTGCCCCCCTACCCCTTCAGGGGTGCCTCTCGCTGCTGGTTCCCACTAGCTCTGCACCGCAACAGGCCCATGGGCCTACCCCCCGTCTCCCATCCCGCTCCGGCTCCCCTCCCTGTGGCCGCGGCGGGCTCCGGCTCCCCTCCCTGTGGCCGTGGCGGGCGGGTCTCTGCTCGGCACCGCTGACGCACAGCAGGTGGCAGAAACTAGCAGCGTCAGAGCGTCAGCGTCTCCTTGGGGTTCCCTCTCGCAGCGCCCCCTGCTGGAGAGCCAAGGGAGTGGGAGGGATGAAGTGGGCTGTCTGCTGACGTCTCTCTCCCCTCAATTCCAGGGAGCTGCTGGAGTCCACGCCGTCCCCTGTGGTCTTCTGCCACAATGACGTGCAGGAAGGTGAGTGATGGGGTGAGACGCCCCCGTCGCCTGTTGGCGGTCGGCATTGCCAGCTGGAATAGCCCAGCCTTGGGCCCGCTGGTGCCTGAGCCACCACTGCAGCGTGGCTCCCCTCTGGGGTCGGGTTAGGGGGAACCTCGCTGGCCTAAGTGCAGCTTGCCCCAGGGAGCAGTCTAAGCCCTGCCTGGGGGCTGACCCGGGGCCAGTCCTGCTTCGGCCCCAGGGCAGGCTACATGGGACCTGAGGGGCTCCCCCAGCTCCAGCTCCCCAAGGCAGCCGCTCTCACCTGTCCTTCCCCTTCCCAGGGAACATCCTGCTGCTGGCTGGGCGGGAGTCGCACCCCACTGACAAGCTGATGCTGATTGACTTTGAATACAGCAGCTACAACTACAGGTGGGTGATGGGAGGGGCAGGGTGGGTGTGGTGCCGAGCCATAAGCTGGCGTGTAGAGGACCTCCACTGCCCAGCCCGGTGCTCCCCCTGGGCCGTGCTGCCTACACGGGGCTGTCGGGATGGCTCTGGGGACGGCTGTCCGGCCTGGTGCTCCCCCTGGGCCGTGCTGCCTACACGGGGCTGTCGGGACGGCTCTGGGGACGGCTGTCCGGCCTGGTACTCTCCCTTGGCTGTGGGACCCATACGGGGCTATTGGGGCAGCTCTGCTGCGGCTGCCTGGTGGGGTGGGGTCGGGGCCACGAGGAGGCTGGAACCCTGCGATCATGGACGCTCCTAACCCCCCTCTCCCTGCAGGGGCTTTGACATCGGCAATCACTTCTGCGAGTGGGTGTACGACTACACCCATGACACGTGGCCCTTCTACAAGGCCTCCTTGGAGAACTACCCCACGCGCCAGCAGCAGGTAACCGAGCCGCCCAGCTGGGGGAGCCCCAGGGAGGACGAAGGGCAGGCAGGCAGTGAGTCCGATCCTTGCCAGGGTGATGCCCTGTGGGGTGAGGTGCTTGCGCTCTGGTTGGTGGGGCTGTTGCTGTTGGGATTGTTGTTGGGTGTTGGGCCCCGTTCTGAGCCCCCTGCCCCGGGGAGCTCCCCCACTCCTCCTGGGGGAATTCTGCACCAAAAACTTAGATTCTGTGCAGAATATTTTAAAATTTTGCAAAATTCTGCATATTATTTGTCAGAGTAACATAGTATAATCACGCCAGTTTCAGTTATTTTGGTAATTAATTTCAAAATACCAGTCAGCAAGTGTGTCTGTAACAGTACAGACAACGCAAAGCTTCAGGAAACATTTCTTAACAAATAGATCCTCGCTAGGCCTGTTAATACAGACCTTTGAGTAATTCATTTCTACTCTAATACAGAACCGGATTCCCGCCCCCCTCGGAAGCAGTGCAAAGGCTGGGGGGAGTCGGGGTAACGGAGGAACCGAGGGAGAGGGAAGGAGCCTGGGAATGAACCTGGTGGGTTGGTGGGT